GTACTAGTACTAGTATTATATATATATATATATATATATATATATATATATATATATATATATATATATATATATATATATATATATATATATATATATATATATATATATATATATATATATATATATATATATATATATATATATCGTTGTATTCAATGAGGGGGAGAATTTAGTACAGTTCATCATTGAAATTACACCCCGTGTGTACTGGACTTGACTCGGTCCAAATATAGGAAGTTCACAGAACATCATACCTACCGAATGGTTCACAAAATGTTATCTCCCGAATGGCCGTTGGTGCAATAAGTACGTAGTAAATTCCAATATTGCATAGCCCCAAGGATATCTTCCTCGCTAATATAAGCGTCCATGTGAACACCCGTCATTCACGAGGCAACTAGTCTCCACGTATTGTACCTTTTATGCTCTATCATCTCTTCGACATACGATATTGGCCTTGAATGATATTCGCAGGTTCGGATCGTTGCCGACACCCCCCGAAAACGACGTTTTTAAATACTACAAGCAGTATATGCAAGGGCAGGCACAATACCCGGATGGCCGAGGGTCCAATGAAGGTATGGGTTTATTCGCGCGTGTGTGTGTGTGTGCGTGAGGAGAGGAAAGTAGCGCTAGGGCTTTTGATGTGCGAATCGGGTGCGCTTATCCGTACTTTACACATGACCCGAGAGTTTGGCCCATTGTAGTAGTCCACCTTGCATCATCCCGCACTTGGTCACGGCCAGTAGCGGTAGCTGTGTACACATTCTAAGCATTCGCAGACACACTCTGACGGCTGACGATAGTACGGTTGGCACTTATCATACGACTGTAATGCTACGATTAAACACTCACAGTACAAATCTAAGCTACGATAAGACACGCCCAGTCTAATCTTTCCTTGAACCCCGCAGAGCTTGGGTTGACAGTGCGGCAGAGTCCGTCGTCACAGTTCAAAGGGGCAACCCCTACACAGCCGCGTCTCAATCCGTTTGTCTCCATACCCAACACCGGGAGGCTTGGGCTCGGGAACACGGGTGTGTTGGTTGCACGCATACAGTATGAACGACTCACGCGAAGTGGGGGAACGCGTACACGGTGATCGGCCGTGTTTACACACTGCATTTATCATGCACTACACACAGAGTGAGTCTAGTCACCTTGCCGACAAGTGTTTGATTCTTTTGTATTATACGCTTGTATCTTTCATACGCTTGTATCGTTGATATTTTGTATCATACTATGTATTACACGCTTGTACCTAGTATGCGCCTCTGTGTATATTGTTGAAGTCCTGTATGCACCATTGGTTGTCATGTGTACCCGTTGGTTATACCCTGTCGTACGAGCCTGCAGACAGACACCGCACAGGATGAATGCACTGAGGGTCAGTGCTCCACTTGTTATGCGTGTTTCGTATCGGGGGTATGCGTCAGACCCACGCCCATATCATCCGCAGCATACAGCGGCACTCTCTTTGGATTCCCCATGCACCCATATAGTTGCTACTCTACACCCGCAATTATCCGTTCTCTGACCCCTCTTACGCGGGCATGTACGTGCCACTTAAACAACCCAACCCAACCCAACCCAACCCACTCACCGCCAACCGCGCACTCTGTGTCGAACAGGCCTCCCGCAGGGCATGCATGCACTCGCACTCAACGACGGGAACGGCATCGATTCACCCTCAGGTGGGTGGTCTAGGGCACCGATGTTGTGGGGGGTTATATTGTTCTGCATATGGGCATTTTTTAAGGTACACGTTCCGGTTTGTATGCACATAAAAACTTTATTGGATCGACCTTGGTCAGGAGGGATGGGGAGAGATAGGGTGTTGTCGAGAATCCTACACGCGTTATACGGATTTCTGTGCGTGTTTAGCTTGCTTGCGACCGTGTGTGTCGTCGGGTGATCAGACTATGACGCGTATGTAAGTTTGAGCGTATCGGCTCCTTTAGGCACGCCTACTTATTTGACGAAAAAATATTGCTATGCGATCGAATTCCTACATTACCATCTCAAATATTGCTATGTCGATCCCGATTCTTATATTACCGTTTCTGCTCTAATGACTCCATATTTACATCTCAAACGTGACATAACTACCCCAATCTAATTCCTACATATTTGTACATCTAACGTTACAGTGTCTACCCTAGTAACTACATATTTCTATCTCCAAAATGACTATGACTATCCTAACATACAGACATATTTAAATAGCTACATATTTCTATCTCAAAAGTGAACATGACTACCCTAATAACTACATGTTTACCATTACTAAGTAAGTCTGCTCCAGTGACGGCATATTTGATCTTAAAACACGACTATGACAGCCCTAATCTCTAAACGAGTATCTCTAACATCACCACGTCTACCCGAATGACGACATATGTACAACTGAACCACTACTATATCTAAACACACACACACACACACACACACACACACACACACACACACACACACACACACACACACACACACACACACACACACACACACACACACACACACACACACACACACACACACACACACACACACACACACACACACACACACACACACTACACACACTACTACTACTACTACTACTACTACTACTACCTACGTACTACACTACACACACACTACGTACGTACGTACGTACGTACGTACGTACGTACGACGTACGACGTACGTACGTACGTACGTA